CGCAGAATGAATTAAAATTGCTGTAATTTTTAGAGTGGATTATATAATTAATGATATAATGAATGTATAAAATAATAGAGATTCTTGAAATTACATTGATCGCTATGACTCGACTACTGGATTGAGTCATAATTTAATCTTTCAACAAGTGTATTGAGTATATTAAAGCGACGCTTTTTCCGCAATCTCAATATTTCTTACATCAATATGAAATTTTTGTCGAGAAACGAAAAGCTATTTAGCAGACATGGCGTCGACTACCGAGATAAAGCTGACATGATCCTGATCTACGAGGAAGATAAGATAGAATAATGAAGACAAAGTAATCCTAAAGCTAAAACATGTTCAATACCGGATGCATTTATAATTCCAAGTCCGACGACCTTACTTGTAGAAAATTTCTTTCTCGCATAATATTTAGTTATTAATATGACATCTATGAATCTATTAAGCATAATTTTTTGTCTCACATCGAAGAATGCGTTAATGTACTTTTTATTTATTATCGTCACGAAGAAATCTGTTTTTTTGTACTTAGAACTGTAAGTTAAATCGTACGATCATTTTTATAACGTTCTAAACAGAAAGCACACTGGACAAACTTTCGCTTCGCAATTTCACACATTGTATGATTTAAGATTTCTTTAAAGCCATTCAAAATTATTAACGCGCACGCAACATTTTCACCGGTGATATCTTCTCCGAATAGAGAGCAGCGTATTCAACCCCAAGAGAAAAGTTACTATTGATATATTCTTTACGAATGCGACGACGCCACGTGCCTACCGTGCCTCTCGCGCAACCCTCGAAGTACGCGAGAACGATGAAGAACGAAGAGTTCCCTCTCGCGCGCGCACTGTCTGCTTTGCATAATTTTACGAATCGCGCGCGTATAATCGTTCCACCGCCGTTGCCGTCGTCGGCGTTACAAAACGTGCCGGCGGCGACGGTATTTCGTGCCGGCGGCGATCCCGCGTGAATCTCGACATTAGCATAAGATCCTCGGAGTGTGACGCGTGTGTTGCACGCCTCGTCGCCCGCTATCGTACGAAGGCGACGGCGACACGTGGCCCGCACGAGACGCGCAATCGGAAGGGTTGAAGCCCGGTGAATTTGTATGAGAGCGCCCCCTCCTCCTCTCCGTTTGCCTTCTCCTCTCGTCACGCCGAAATGTCGGATCGCAGGAACTCGAATGAATGTTTAGACATGGGTGTATATACGGAAGTGTCGATGTGACACGTGCCGCGACACGCTGGTGCGTTTGCTCGCTCCGCTGTATGTACTCAGCATTAGCATGAGATTTCAATGTCAGTTTCTCGGCGTATAGATTTTCTTGCTTTTATTCTTGCGAACGCTCTTTTGGACGTCGCGTGTGTGCAACCGTGGAATGTATAAGAGATTTGCGGTCGGGCTCTTCACGCGGAATTCTATGAAGAATGTTCATAAAATGAATGGAAGTAAAAATCATTTATCTCGGAAACTACCTTCGCCTCGACATCCTGTATATTATTGGATTATTTCTCGTGTCACATTAATACATTAATTTTTTTACTCGCAAATAAATACTCAAAAATGTTTGGATTCTATATTTGAAAAAGCGTTAAATTATTCACTAAAATATAAAGTCCCTTTCACATTTTTTTTTTTTCGCACTTAATAACAGTGACAAGTTTATAACGATCTTAGAGAGATTAACTCTAAACACACATAGAGAGTTCCCGTTCGTGAAGCGACGCGTCTTAAAAGTGCCGACAGCACTCCGTCACTAGAAAATCAATTTTCCCATCGAATATCGACGCCTATTGTTCCCTTTTTTTTCCACGCGTCTCGTTCTATTCATGAAGGCAATCGCGTCGTTTAGGAAATTTTATTGAAGCAGTCGCGATGACGCCGCGATGGACTGTCGATGAACGACCATGACCACGCGTACAATGGTTCATGCCGATCCTTCGCCTCTTCGCTCGGTGTCGCGTATATATACGTCGCTTTTGTTGCGCTTAAAACGCAATGAAAAAGCACCGCGACTAATTAATACCTGAGCTTTTTGCTGAAGCAACACGGATGCGCGTGTCAAATTTACGACGTATCACGATGTTATATCTCTGGCAATTTCAACAATCTTCGACTCTTTTCGACGCTAAATAATTACAAAATTCTGGACGGATTTGGCAACAAATACATTTTTTAACACTCTAATTGTATGTATAATAGAAATATATAATTTCAAAAATTACAGTTCAATCAAAAAGTTATGAAAATCCATTGAGTTTACTATAAATCTTTGTGGCAACTGAAAATCTATACATTGATATATTTTTATATTTGCAAGTTTTTTTTTTTTAAATTCATAAAACTTGAAGTTCTAAATACGTTAAGTAACTAATAAAAATTTTAAGAATATTTCTGACCTTTACAAAGTTTGTTCTCACCGTAAAAATAACAAAGAGTTCATTCTTCAAGAATAAAAATTATTTGAGAAACTCGCGCACATAATTTCAAGCGAACATGTCATCTTAGTTTGTTTTCCCTGTTTTACTTGTAATTTACTAGACGAACGCGAATTAGTCTACCAGTTTGCAGGCTACAATTTGTAGGCTCGATTAGTAGCGACAGTGCCACATATGTCAATTTGACCAAAATACTAAAAACCAATTGTTTAACAAACTATATCGTGTGCATTAACTTGTCATAAGTAAATGTAACATCGCACTTGTAATTTAATATAATCTACGATAAAACGCTTATCGTAGATTAAACATTTCAAAATATACTCCGCTTTTCTTCTCATAATCTGCATACTTTTGTCCTGGTTTGAAAAATAAAATTTCTCTTGAACTCAAAATCAAAATCATACTTAATCCAAAAAATCTGAATCATACTTATTCGTATTTGATTAAATGATAAGATTTATAATAATCGCGACTTACCAAAACGTTTCTGGTGTAACCATTGTAATGGCTTCTTAATGATAGGAATTGGAAAAGAATATTTGGGACAAGGCACAAAAATTGAAATAAGAAAAAAAAAACAAAAAAGTAATATTATTATTTGAGAAATTTCTTTATTTAGACTAGAGGAAAAATAATATAATAGTGATAATATAAAATAATATTAATAATAAATAGGTATAAAGATTTATTATCATTATTATTTTTTATTAATTTATGATATAATATTAACTACTTATTATTATTATTAATTAATTTTTTAATTAATAATAATAATAATAAGTAATTATTAAATTAATAGAATAATTCATAATAATAATAATAATAATAATAATAATAATAATAATAATAATAATAATAATAATAATAGTAATAAACTATATACACAAGAGTAGTAGGAAAATAAATTGACGTACATAACATTGTATATATGAACATATTGTGAACGTGATATGAATGTGTGTATATATATACTGTGTACGTGTACAGTAAGAAAAAAAAAGAAGTGAAGCCACACCCTCGTCAGCCACAAAAATACGAGCGTAAAATAAAATAAATTCGAAGAGAGAGAAATAAACGGACGTGCGCAGCCAGGTGTCCAAGGTCGCGACATCCGGTTCCGACTACTCCTAAATCGGATACGTGGGCAGACGAGAGCATGACCATCACAAAAAAAAGAAGATTCATAAATAACTAAGATAACGCAAAATAATAATTAATAATGGGCGCCTAATTATGATTGCGATGTGTATGACGTCGTTAATGGCAGATAAAACGCTATGTCGACGTTGAAATGCCTGTTCGTAAGCTAACGCATAGAATCGGTATAGTTGAGTTTATACGTACTTGGGTATAGAGTTAGTGAGGCAGGGCCGTGTATCTGAACCCCGAGCGAGGATTTGCGAAGTATTTACAGTAAACGCTGAATGTACAGCGAGGAAGAACGTCAAGATGTTGGAATGGCTTCGCAAATATTGACGACGATAACGAACGACGACGATAATAGAACAATGTTGAACGCTTCGAATAATAATATGCGTATGCAGTTAAAAGTAATCAGTATCCGTTTAAGAGGCATCATTATAAAATATAATAAGAGCGCTATTATTTCAAGATTTAACTTACACTTAAAACACAGTTTATTCCCTTAGTAGAAACTCGTCCTTAAATCGACAGCGACGATTAAATTTCTGTTTCACCGCCGCTTCTATTAATTTAAATCGATTAATTTGAGAATTGTGTGATAACATAAATTATTCACCTGTGAATAATTCAGATATAATAACTCATATATTATTATCATACATGATAATTTAATTATCACACATTTTTCTCGCCGTGTCTCTCTAATTTCCTTATATTCTTCTTTTTTTTCCATTCACTCACTCTCTTTCACGCCATTTTCACATTTCCAAAATAAATTTTCATTCTTATGCTAGATTTAACCGATAGGAACTTTTTAGAGCATTGCCTAATTCTAGATATCTGATATGAACTAAAGGTATGCGAACATATTTATATATATACATGATGTGTATATATATATAGTTTTTACACATATACATATAAATATATGTATACATGTGAAAGTATATATCTCGAAATATAAACATCTTATAATTAATATTGTATTATTAATTTGACGGTAGGGGAGATAGGCCCTTTAGGGTATCACACAGGCCCAATTAATATATACGTGGAATTTTGTGGCGATACACAGAGAATACGTGCAAAACATATTTATAAATGACTTAACGTCCGCGAGTTCGAAATTCCTTGGCGCAATGCGAATTTTAACGAACACAAATACGTTATAAAATCAACCTTTCTAAAGTCACTCATCAACGAAAATTATACAACGAAAAGTTCAAACATCTTTCTATTACAAGCGATGAGTTAAAACTCAAAACTTGAGAGTAAGAACGGAATTATATTTTCAAAAATTAAAAAAAAACAAACAAAAAAATATATATTAATTTATCAACTTAGCACGAATTTCGAACGAGCGTGATATGAGCGTTTAGTCGTCTAAGAGGTCAGCCAGACACTCACCGGCCGTAGTGCTAGCTGCGCTGGCCGTAGCGCCGGCAGGATGTTGCTGCTGCTGTGACTGGAACATTGCCGTCGGGTGGAGAAACACAGAACCGTACATCATGTTTTCGTCCGTCTGTTGTTGCTGCTGTTGACCGACTTGCTGACCGGTCGTAGCGACCACCGACGAATTGCCGATGCCCGATACGCCGCCGCCGGCGGTGCCGCCGCCGCCACCACCGCCAGGTACAATCGGTGCTCCGGGAGTCGGCGGCACGAGGGTGCCTTCTTCGACGGCGATGCGCACCGACTCGATATGTCGCCGTGAGAATACGTGCTCCTGCAGTGGGGTCTTGGCCGAGTAACGCACGGAGCACAGCCTGCATTCATCCGGCCCGGTCGGGCCGCGATGTGGCTGGACGGCCGAGCCCTCGGCCGGTAAGCCCGCCGCCAGCCTGGCCTTCTTCTCCTTGGCGCGGGCGTTCTGGAACCACACCTGCAACTCGTCTCCATTAGTCTCCGTAAGCTCGGATCGGGGGGTTTGTACGCGCGCCCGAAGAACAGCTTCCTCGTGGGTAATTGACGATTTGTCTACCACGAGTTCGAAGCCGGGCTCGCGTGAGAACTATCGATGCTCACCTGGACCACCCGCTTCGGCAGACCTATTTCGCGACCGAGCATTTCGCACTCGGCCATCGTCGGTGTTTTGTAGTCCGAGAACAGCGACTTCATCACCTTCACTTGGGTGGCCGACATCTGTGTACGGTATCGCTTGCCGCCGGATTGGCTGGTATTGCCACCGGACTGTCCGCCGGTTACTGGCGGTCCGGTAACATTGCCGGTACCACCACTGGCAGGCGCTTGTCTCGTACTCTGAGTACTCGAAGCTGGACTCGTCGGACTGTCGTCGTCCAAAAACTCCGTAGTCTCACTCATGCTGTCATCGTCGCAGATGCTACGTTCGGATAAGTCTGTCAGAGGCCCGCAGTCGCTGCCACCGCGGAAGTGAGCGCCGTGCTGCTCTTCGAGGAGCAGACCGCCAAGACTCAGTTTCATCGGTCGGCTGAGATCGACCGGTTTGCTCAAATCCAACGGTGACTCGCCGCTGTTGTTATTGCCTCCGGTTTGATGATTCGTCGTTTCCTGTTTTCCGTTACTGGCGTGTGCCTGTAATTCGCTAAAGTATCGCTTCATCTCTTCGTAGTATTTCATAGACTTCAAAGACGCTTCCACGTCGCTGTTGTTAAACGGCGGAAACAGCGGTGGCATCATGTGAGGTGTGCTGGAATTCGAAGGAGCGGATTCCATCGAGAGCTCCTCGTCCGGGATGTTGTCGATGTTCACCTCGCCGCGTGCCACCTGATCGGCGTGTTTGCTACTGAGATGAGATTCAAGAGCGGATTTGACTTTGAACAGCGCCGGACAGAATGGGCAGCGCTTGTTGATCACTTGGCTGTGAGCGCGGAATTGACCTTTGCGTTCGCGGGCACGCGTATTCTGAAACCATACCTGAACCACGCGTTTCTTCAGACCGACTTCGCGCGCGATTGTCTCCAGCATCTTCCGCGACGGGTTAGATTCGATTTGATATTTTTGATAGAGATAATCCAATTGTTCTGGGAGTATCGTGGTTCGCAGACGTTTGTCTTTCGGTTGCTCGTTGTGCTCCGAGTTTGAACGGTTATCGCTGCCCGTTCCCTCCTCGAGTTCCTCGTACTTCCTCTTCTGCATCATGGCGATGAGTGGATGACACGGGTTGTCCGGTGTGCTAGCGTTGATTGCGTGTTGCTGCAGAATGCCGAAGGGTGAGTCGGGTGGGTACGCCGGAAATAGGGACGGGTTCATGATATGTACTAATTGATGCTCGCGCCAGAGCTCAAATCGTCCGAACATCAAGTTACACTTGTCGCACTGGAAGCTACCTTCTTTCGATTCCGTTTGCGACTGTTGCTGTTGTTGCTGTTGTTGCGACTGCTGCTGTTGCGTCTGCGACAGTGTCTGCTGCTGATGTTGAGGTGGAGTAGCGGTGCTCAACGGTTGTTGCAATTGTTCGGTAAGCGCGGGGGCTGCCGATTGATTGGCTACCGTGTTTATAGTCGTTGTTGAGCTGCTGTTACTGTCTTCGGAACTTAGAACTGCGGCGACTTGAGCTGCTGCAGCCTGAGCTTGCGCACTTCTTTTAGCATCTTCTTCTTTAAAACAGTGAGTCTTCTGATGGCGTATAAGCTCATAATATCTCTGAAAAACAAGGAGACACTTTTTACATTGATAGTTTAATCCTGGTGTTCTTTGAAATCGTCCAGATCCGTCGTCAGTTTCACGTCCGCCTGTCGTTACAGGCTCAGCGGCGGGCTGATTTTCATAGACCTTCCGTGCTTTCTGTCTAGCATTTTGAAACCACACTACGATAACACGTGGGCTCAAACCGAGAAGTTTGCTGAGATACTCTAAATCGTCATCCTTCGGATACGCGTTATTTTCGAAAAATTCTTGAAGAACTTTTATCTGATAATCGGTAAATCTTGTACGATTGGCGCGTTTTCCGGAGCTGCCACTGGAGGTATTGCTGCCGTTACTATTGCCGCCAAAAGAATAATCCGTTGGTCCTCGACCTGGACTCAGAGATCGTTGTGGAGTGAGCGCTATCGCAGCAATAGCATTCGATACTACACCCGCTCCTGGTGCGGGATTGGGATAGGTTTGAGGTGCTAATTTAGGCGGTAACATCGGAGTGCTTGGAGCGTTTGCGATTGAAGGAGCATGGGATGAAACATCATGGTGAATGCCGGAAAACACGGAGCTCATACTCAGCGCTGGAGAATGCGGACGTGATAGTTGACCACTCGAGCTGCCGGGTGAAAGATGTTGTTCTTCTTGCTGCTGCTGCTGCTGCTGCTGCTGCTGCTGCTGCTGCTGCTGTTGCTGCTGTTGCTGTTGCTGTTGCTGCTGCTGCTGTTGGCACTGCGATTGTTCTAGTGTCTCCTGTTTTATCTCAGCAGGCTGTGATGCGCTAGTGTTTTGCATAGACGGCGGAGGCGTACCTTGCTTATTTGGACTTTTATCGTCAGAGGAACTACTACCAGATACACTTGAATTTAACGGGGTCACTTTTGCCTCGCCAGTTTTTTCGTACTCCTCGAGATTCAGAGTAGTGCTCGGTGGATTATTGAAATTGTAAGGACTGTCTTTGTTACGTTGTCGCTCTTTAAATAATGTGTTTCGGAACCAATGTTTTATGACTTTGTTTGGCAATCCACTCTGATTGGCCATCTCTTGAATTTGCTCCTCACCAGGTGAATTATTAATATCAAAGTGTGCTCTTAATATTTTTAGCTGTTCATCAGTGATACGTGTACGCGCTCGTTTCTGTGACGCAGCTGCGCTTGCCTGAAAGTCAAAAGATCGCTCTTTCTTTTTTTTGCTAATACTCGATACACATAATTAACATTCGACAATTATTTTGTGTGCCTTTTTTTTGAATTTTTAGAGCATTTTTCGATATACACAACTGATATTCGACAATTATTTTATGTTATATATTATATATATATATATATATATATATCTTTTCTTGAATTTTTAGAACATTTTTATATACAAATTTAAAAATTCTGGTATTAATTTTTTTTGAAAGTCAGAAGATCGCTTTTCCTTTTTTTGCTAATATTCGATACACATAATTAATATTCGACAATTATTTTCTTGGATTTTTAGAGCATTTTTATATACAAATTAAAAAATTCTGGTATTGATTTTTTTTGAAAGTTAAAAGATTGCTTCCTTTTTTTGCTAATATTCGCTACACATCATTAATATTCGACAATTATTTTTTTGTATATCTTTTCTTGAATTTGTAGAACATTTTTTTACATACAAATTTTTTTATTATAATCATAATCATAATTTTTATTTCATTATAATCATAATTTTAATTCTTGGTACTTTATTAGTACCAAGTATTTGGTTCTCGTAATTAGTACTTGATACTTTTATATATTTATTTAATATTTTTATAATTTATAATACGTTGTAATTTATAATAAATAAAAAAATGTAGAAATATTCAATATATTTGTAAAAAAAAAATAAATAAATATTACAGCCATATTAAATACATTACAATAATTTATAATATGCACATTTGTAATACTTCAAAAAATTATTTCTGTAAAAAATTTAAAAAATATTAGAAATATTACAAACACATGCATCTTATGCTACTTACTTGTTGTTGATGAAGGACAAGATTGTGCTTGGCAATGAGATCTGCTTGATTGATGGATGGATAACCAGTGGTGGCACCGTCATACGGCGGTGGCGGTAACATCATTGGCACTAGAGGTGGTTGCAGGTTCATAGCCGCTAAAGCGGATACGTTCAATCCAACGTTCAACGGTAATCCCATCATTCCCATCATTAATCCAGGATACTGTGTCAACTGCTGCTGTATTTGCGACGCTGCCATTGCGTTCAAAGCAGCTTGCATTTCAGACATCTGCTGCGCCAATGTGAGCTGAGCATGCTGCTGCTGCTGCTGCTGCTGCTGTTGTTGCTGCTGCTGCTGCTGTTGCTGCTGCTGTTGTTGAATATGATGCTGCGAATTAGCAGGCAGCACAGTCGCCGTCGTAGAGTCCGTACTTGAAACCGGAGTATTGCTCAATGCTGGAGTAGTCGTTGGAGTGGTAGATGTGGCCTCTGGTGTTCGGCTGATACGTTCTTTGCTCTCAGTGTTCTCTTCTTTCTCCTTCTCACGTGATTCCTTATCAGAGCTGAGATCTTGGGGTTGTGCGGTGGCAGGTGTGGAGCTACTCGGGGCTGTTGTAGTTGATGAAGACGTTGCAGCAGTCACTACGACGCTTTTCTTCTCGTATTCGCATTTGAATTGTTGAGCATATTTTTCGAGAAATTCGCGGGGTACAAGATCACGGTGGACTTCCTCGCAATGAGCCTTCAGAACCCAAACACTGCTAAACTCCTTATTGCAATGCTGGCAAGTACTGGGCTTAAGTTCTGGTATTACGTCATCGTCCGTATGAGTCTCTTCAACTTCTTCCTCTTTTTCTTGTGCGGCTTGAGCAGCGAGTGCTTGCTTTTGTCGTTCTTGCTTTTGTTGCTCTTGCTGTGCCTGAAGAGCGGCAGCCGCTTCTTCCTCTTTGCGCTGTCGTCTTTGGTGATTCTCGTTGAATTGCATAACGAGATCGAAGCCGAAGCTTTCCAACAAATGCTTATACATCTGCGAGGTCTTATGTCGCGGTTGGGAGAGAATGTCTTGCGTGGTTTGCGTGGAGTGCTGTGTACTTTGTTGCATATGTTGCTGCACTCCCGGCGGTCCTGGTGTCGTGGATGCAGGAGGCGGCGTCTTGGCAGGGGTGGAGGTCAGCTGCTGTGACGCAGCCAATTGTTGAAATAACGCCAGCGGATTGCTGAAGATGCAGTACAGTTGTTGATGCGTCGCCAATTGCTCTTGATTGACAAACAAAGCGCTGCAGCGTGAACAAGAGAGCATTCCTCCTGCATTGCTCCCCGCTGCCGTGTTCGTATTGACCGATGGACTGCTCGGACTCGTCGGCGGTGGTTGTTCGATCAGCGGTCGAGCGAGATCCAGTTGGCCGCTGGCGGCGAGATCCGGCAGTTTGTTGGCGCGCGTTTGATGATAAACGCTTCTCATGTGAATGTCCAGAGTGCTGCCCTGGCTGTACGCGACGTTGCAGATGTTGCACTTGTACGGTTTCTTGTCTGGACTCTGGTCCTGCTGGGAGTCGGGCGACTCGATCGGGCTGGCCGGAGGCATCACCGAGATCAGTGTGTTATTATTACCCTGCTCCTGCATCGCCCTCTTCAATTTGTGCAGATGACTCACGCTGTTGTAGTGCACTAGGAGTATGTTCTTTTGCGTGAAGCTTTCTTTGCAGACGTCGCATTTGAACGGTCTATTCGGGTCCAGATATTTTTCCATAGGATAAGACATCTTTTCGCCTTTGCGGTGCAACAGGGTCTTGTTGTGACCAGTGAGATAGCTCTGGCGCGTAAAAGCCACCCTGCAACGATGGCACTTGAATTTCCGACTTGGATCGTGATAACTATCTTCTGCGACCGTTTGACTATTCAGATAATCCTCCAACGTTACCAGACGTTCTTTCTGCATCGGGGACGAATCGCTTGCATCACTTTCTTCCTCATCACCTCTGTTAGTATCATCCTCTGCGTTCTGTTCGTTCATCAAGCCGCTTTGTCTCCTCAACGTTTCTTCCGTCAGCGCTTGGAGCAACGGATGCGCGTGGAGTAAGCTCTGTTTGTATTGAGCTAGCTCGTCCTCGTGGAAATCATGAGTGGACTCCAGATGTCTTTGAAGCGCTTGGACCGATCGAAAAGATCGTCCGCAGAGCGTGCACTTGGTCGCGTCTCGGATAGCGTGGTACTGGGAGTGTTGCTGCAGCTTTTCCAAGGTCTTGAAGGCAAGACTGCACTGTCCGCATCGATATTTATAAACGTGCTTTTCGCTAACCGCCAAAGTAGGCGTAGCCGCCGGATGAGCTTCCCTGTGATGTTGCTGAAGTTCATCGATGGAACGGCAAACTCGGCCGCACACCGTGCATCTGGTGATCTCCTCGATCTCGTCACTGGCACCGCGTTCGCTCATCTCTTCTTCATGATGGAGTTTCGTCGTTGTCGTGGGCGATGTCGGCGTCGTGACAACCGTTACGGCCGGCGTCGAAGTATTCCTTGGATTATTGTTCAGCCAATGGCTCTGATCTACTAGGACTAATAGCCTTTGCAAGCCGTCGGTGTTAACAGAATGAATTTGCATCACGTGTTTCTCTAGAGCGGGGCGTTCTTTGAAACTATCTTGGCACAACGGGCATTGTAATTCCACAGTCGGTTCCTCTTTCACCGGTTCAGTTTTCTCTTCCGAATCTTGAACATGAGCTACTTGTAAATGCTGCCGTAACTCTTCTCGCGACGTCGGCTGATACGTACAATATAGGCACGCAATATCGTCTTGGTCGTTCTCGGGTTCCGCTTCTGGTTCTGGATCGTTGTCTGGTTCTTGTTTTACTTCGCTACCGCAATCACTACCTTCTTCGCGTCGTTCTAAAATCAAGTCAAAAAGAAAAATTTGTTCAAAAGTTTTTACACGACAGTTAGTTTAAATTAAAGAAAATTTTCATAAAACGGCAAAAATAAGTGATGCCCATCGAATGTAAAGTAAAATAGTTAATATAGCGATAAAACGTTATTGCAAGAAAATTGGAGATTTGCTGCTCTTATAACATTCATATACATTTTTTCAAAATAGCGAAACATATTGTTTTGCATTGTAAAGCAAAGTTTTATCGCGAATCACGCCAGTCAATGCGAAAACTTCAAATTAAATACAATTTGTCTGTAATTAACACTTGGGTATTTCTGATTTTATAATCGAATCGACCTAATACAAAATTAAAAGCAACATGAAAAAAATTTAGTTGTTTAGTTAGAAAGAGAAAATTTATGACCCGTTTATTATTAATATTTGCAAATATGTATGTCTGCGCATTTTGTGGAATAATTAAACTTGCTCGTTATGATCAATATTTATTCATTGCGATAAAATTTGCATTGCGATAAAATTGTATTTTTGAAAAAAGCAATAAATGACTTATTAAAAAAGCATGTGGATTTTAATCAGTTTAACTTACATGCGTCAGCATAATAAGAAAAGCATTAAAGTTTATAAAGTAGCAAATGTAATTCTCGCGAATTATCGTCGAAAATTTCGCAATTGCAATCTTCTCCGGATAATCACTTTATTCCAAAGATTATTAACATTCCGAACGCGTCGAGATTTGCCATAATAAATCGGTCTTTTTCATTCGGTCAGCATAATATTAAAGTTCGGCATTAAATATGCAGAGCCGGACGGGCGCGCGCAAGACAGGCATCCATTTCGCAGCGATTCGTTCCCCGAGACATTAACTCGAAACACTACAAGAGAAAGTAAATTATAGATAGGTACTACCGGTAAACTATGGCAGTGCCAACACACGGCGTAAAGTTCGCGTTCAGTGTCACGTACGGCCGGCTGTGTGTCGCCAATGTGCATGTTCTCTAGCGGCGCTATTAAATTGATTAGTCTCGTCCAAGAATCGCGTTCGTTTGCCGTCCACCCGCCTCGGTGATCGATCCGCGCAAGAATTACCGTTGCAATTATTCGGTTGATCTTTTCGGTGCGCGAACGCGGACGGAAGGATTTACGCAAGCAGACACGTAATACACACGGTGTCGCGTACATGTGTCAGTCGCAGAGAGAAAGTTTCGCCGCGATGCGCGCGGCAGCGTCTGAGAGGACAAAAAAAAAAAAAGAACGACCACGATCTATACGCGTCACAGATGCTCTCGCACCAGTGTCTTGCAACAATAATATGTCGAATGACAGATTGGCGATACCGAATTACCGATGGCGGTTTTCTACGAAAGAGAGAAAAAAAAAGAATAGAGGAAAAGCAAAAAAAAAAAAAAAAACAAAAAGAAGGACGAAAAGAAGGATAGCACCGTCTGTACGCATCGTGCGGTATTGTCCGAAAGCACACTTACATCGTGGCAGCGTCAGTTGCGACGTCGTAACACGGCGCAACGCGTGCTGCTGGTTTCACCCCCCTCATCCCTCTCTCCGTGTATATTTATATGTAAGTACAGTCTACCGATATATAATAACACCGCGGGTGTATTGTGCGCGTCGCCGGTGGTGGCGGCGGCACACGCCACGACCATATGCCACTCAAAATTACCGTCATCGTCGGCTAATTGTAAGATAATAAAATAATGAGACCAGTGAATTCATTAAGAGTGCAGGTATAAGCTTTCTTTGCTCGCGCTAATTAATGTAGCGTACGAGCCGGCATAAAAAGAAATTCACCACAAAAGCAAATTTTATCGAAAGTCGCAAGTTTATCGCTTTCTAATCTGATTTCTGAAATATTGCTACGTTTTTTTTTTGAATATTTTAGATATTCTGAATATTTGTTTGAATATTATTCAAATATATTTCGTATAATAAATTTACAATCAATATCTTTATGTTATTTAGCTGTAGAATGTGTTAAACTACGGTAAAAATTATAAGCTTGTGAGGAATAAATAGCTCAAAAAAAATCACAAGTGTTGATTGAACGATAAATAATATCGCAATGCTCTTTCAATACGCGACAGCGATAACTGTTCAAGTATAAAAAAAAAGAAAAAAAAAACAAACACGATTAAGAAAGGAGTATATTAAAAGAAAATTGAATGAATTGAACGTTGAGTCAAGTATTATGTGATACATCGAAAGAAATAGAGAAAAATGACACGCCTTGCACTTTTACATAATTTTCTTAATGCTTCATTTTTTTTGTTGTTATTTATTGATTGCTTTTCGCAATTCTAACATATTAATAAATATTCTCAGCAAAATAAAATATATATCGTCAAACGCGTCTTTAACAGATAAAATACTTTTGACATACTAAGAAGCCATCGTTTCGCTATTAACAATTATTTTACGATGAAAGCAAATATCAAGCAAACTCGTCGAACATGTTAGATTGCTCGCTACAACTCACCATTGTTGGTGCTCGTAGCGTTGGGTGTCGTCGGTGTGGTTGGACTGGGTTGCTGAGTAGGCGGCACATCGGGATCGCTCACCACCTGAAATACATCGCCGATATCCGTGTGCGGGGTCTCGTTTCCTTGCAGACTGCTTCTTCTGTGTAGTTGATGCAGTTGTTCCATATGTAGGTGCCGCAGAGATCTTACGTGTTGCAGAAGCGGCAATCGGTGCCGTGTGCTAAATCCGCACAGAGCGCAGTGATACAATTTTCCGGAAGCTTGAATGTTGCCACTCGCCTCGAGGAGATGGCGAAGCAGGAGCGCCGCGGCTTCGTGCCTCGGCGAAGCGGCGTGCAGTGCTAATTTGTGCGCGCTATTGGTATAGTAATCGCACGCATGGCACCGCAATTGCGCGGCGCTCGTCGGCGACGCCAAATACTTGAGCTTCCATTCGTTACGCGGACCACCTTCTTTCACGTGATTTACATGCTGCAAACGTTGCAGATGTTTGTCAGTCTTGCAATGCAGTTGGAAATTCGCTTTCAGGTTGGTCTTGTAGGAACAGAGTTTGCAAATGAATTGCGAGTTCAACATTGTAAGTATCTCACCCTCGCGAGTTCTCGTCCGATCGGCGGCAAGATGGTGGCCGAGGGCCTCCAACGAGTCCGTCTCAAAGTTGTTGCAGACGCAACAGTGATAAAGATGGGTTGGATCTTGATCCGCGGGTTCGGGGGGCGGCTCCATACTATCCGGCGAAAGTCCGACGTCACCGCCGAGATTGCTCATGGCGCTCATGTTCGTCATGCTACCCATGAGCTCCGGTGGAAGCTGCGGCGGCAGCTGACCGCCGGTCATCATTTGTATCAGAAGCGCCTGATTGTAAGCCATGTCGGCCAACGCCGCCTCCGCATGTTGGGGTTTGTCCAAGCCGCCCAAGTGGAGCAATTGCTCGAGCTGTTGTTGGTGTTGTTGCGCCTGCTGATGATGGTGTTGCGCCTGCTGGTGGTGGGTGAGCGCGGACAATGTCTGCATATGCTTGACGTTTTGTTGCAGCACGAGCATATTGTGCGTATGCTTCTCACTCGTCATGTGTATCCTTAGATTACGCGCGACATTTGTCTCGTAGTTGCACACGTCGCAGCGAAACGTAGGTTTCGGCTTGCTCTGATTGCCGCCCTGGGTGGATATGTGCGGGCTGTGATTCTGTTGATGATGAGGACTCCGCGTTGGCATCGGCGCGTCCTGAGACGAGGAGGGATTACTAGCGCCGGAGCCGCCTCCGCTCCCCTGCTGCAATTCTTGCATGTTATTTAGATGTTTGTCGCTCTGCATGTGTATGCTGAGGTTACCTTTTGTCGTGGTGGAATAATTGCACACTTCGCATCTATACGGCTTGTAGCCACAGGTGTAGGTTTCGCCGCGCGCTAACCTGGGATGCGCCTGACCTGCGATACAATAGATGCACGAGGTTTCGCTCTCCGGATGTTTCTCCTTCATGTGTATTTCGAGGGTCTCTTGGTACTTGTAGTGCCAGTTGCACTTGGGACACTTGAGGGTCTTGCAAGAATTCCGGCTGTGGATGCCGGCGAGCGCTCCGCCGGGACCAGTGAGCCGGCTGCTAGCGAGTATAAGCTCGCACTTGGGGCATTCCACCCCGCTTGGCCTGCCCTGCATATGTTCCGGACAGACGCCTATCGTAGTACCGGTGAGAAAGTTGGGTGGAGCTTGGGTAAGCGCGGCGTACGAAGACGGGGATCCCTTAGTGGATGAAGTCGGCGGCGGCGGTGAACTGTAATGCATGGCGTCAGGTGCTTTGGCCCAAGACGCAGCGCTCACCTGTGCGCCGGTCCACTGATGTTGCTGTTGATGATGATTGTACGTAAGAGGATGATTCGAGTGCGACGTAGGTGTGGTGGGCGTGCTCGGCGAAGGCCGCTGCTGTTGTTGCGTATGCGATTGTTGCTGTTGCTGCTGTTGCTGAGGACTGCTCGGTACGCCAGGGGTGCTAGCCGGTGTACTCGTTGTTGTCGGCGTTGTCTCGTGCTCGTTAGATTCGCCACGTTGTTGACCTTGCATTTGCGCGGGCGACGCCTGAGCGTAGGTCGAGCTGGTAACGGGCTCCAGAAAGCTAACAAGCGGCTGCTTTCCCCTACCGACAGCCTGAATAATAGCCGATGCCGTCGAGTGGGAAAGTATCTGCCGCTCGTCTTCCATCAAGGCGAGCTGATGCTCGCCCTGGGCGTGCGCGACAAAGCTCTTGGCGTATCCGAAGCTGAGCTTGCATATGAAACACATTAAAATAGGTTTGACGGGTACCGATGCAGCGGGCGGCGGCGGCGCCGCGGGCGCCGGAGGTGTCTGTTTACTACCCTCCGCACTTCTATAACTGATCACCCGGTAACTATGCATTACGGGAAGATCAGGATTGTGCTGTTGTGACGCCGAACGTTGCTGCTGCTGTTGCTGTTGCTGGTAAGCCTGCTGCGCGTACAACCGCGACACGTAATACGCACTCGCGATTTGCGGGAAAACTAAGGAGTGAGGAACCGTTACACCGCGCCCATCTACGATACAACCGTCCGGGAGAGAGTCATCCTCGCTGAGCTCGCTCTCGCCCTCAATAATGTAGGCCGACCCGTCCGGATTGTAAACGATTTTTCCGTCAAACTTCTCCACGTCGCCGCCCGTCGGACTCGGGCTTGGACTAGGACCTTGCTGTTGCTGTTGCTGCTGACCCTGCGACTGCATCGTCATAGTGGTGGCCGTGGTGGTGGTGGTGGTGTCCGCGATGGGGGTGGGTGTTGGTATCGCGTCGCGGGTGCAGGGTTCCGTGCCCGAAGGTGGACTAGCCGTGCGGGGGTGATGGGGCTGATGTAGCGCAGCCCCAGCCGCAGGGGGGGACCCACCCCCTCGGCCCCCCTCCTCCTCCGGGCTCATCTCCTGCTTCTGCTGCGCGTACGTGGAATTTTGGAAGGGTCCGCCGTGTTGCTGCTGTCGCTGTTGCTGCTGCTGATGATGATGATGCGCCACCAGCTGCTGAAAGAGCTGATGCTCGATCGCGCTCGGCGTGTGTTGCTGTAGATGCGAGGGAGGAATGTTGCGGTGCTGAAGGTGGTACGGGGGATGGGGCTCACTGGAGGGCATCACCCCAAACGTGAGGCGGGCGCCAGCCTCACATCACCTACGGCGCTTGCGCCTACGTTTTCCGTACCTCCTCTTCTTCTTCTTGCGCGCGAACTCGCCCGCTTCCTCGCCGACTGCCTCCCCGTCTTATTCTTTTTCTCGTCACCGAGAGACGGTTCACTAGCTACCCCGACGCAAGCCCAGGTCGTACCTGTAACAAGCAAATAACCAATCGATTGTTAGGATTGAAATGCTTCATGTTTTAATAATATAAATTTTATATATAATAATAATGTACACCTTTTTCAAACAAAATATCGCAAATTTTGTGCAAATTAACTCGAAAATACTTGGAGCGCTATCCGCGAGATGAGACTAGTTAGCTCGCCCGTGAAAGAATGAACTCACAGACGGAATGCATATAAGAATCGTCTAGTCGGTTATAATCCAGTCAAACACAGATATTTCCGAGGATGGCCGAGAGATAGCGAAAATACGCAGAACTGCAGCAAGCTGCGTGTGCGTAGGATCGTCCGCGGAAGACGGCGGATAAGTACACAAAGCCACGGAGGAACTGTCGCAGTAACACAACGACTCGTTGTGTTCGGATTACCTGAGTGAATCCAGCTGTGTTTGCGATCGATCGGTCGGGCTTATCTATCGATGGAATATCAATGTTTCCGTCCGGGACAGTGCGAGAATGAGAGACCGAAAGAAGCGCAGCGAGCTCAATAGCGAATCGTCGCTATGAATGCTCGCTTGTACACGCTCAGATCGAAGATCCTTCATCGCATCTCCTCCGCGCGCGTTTATACTTCTTTTGTCAATAAAGCTTTCGTCATATAGCGAACTATAAAGTGAAGCATTGTTCGCATTTACAAATAGTTACATTACGCTGTTCACCGAATTAACTCGTCTAGTCGCAAACAGTTTGTTTTTCACTTTCTCGCTATCGACTGCAAATTTCCCCACAACTTTTCCGCAAATATAATTACATTTTTGCATTAGCTTTGTTATATATTAAAACGAATAATAGCAATCTGCAAAGAATTTGCATATCGAGTTTGTTGTAGGAATAAAAAGTTGTATAATACATCTTTATTGATAGACAAAAAGGTTAAAATCAGAAATTAAATATAAAGCTGAGCTGAAGACAACGCGCGGTCTTATTTCAGCGACGATTCGGTTCAAATCACTTGGCTTCGAGTAATTCAAATTGCGGACTGCAAAGTCCGGATAGCAACTGCGTACTCGTCGCAATTCCGGATTAAGGAGAACTAACGAGTGCTGCGCGAAAAAGATTAAGTGCGTTTTGCGTGCGCGGTGCGTCCCCTAGGACGAGATACGTCGGTCGCTTTGATTACCGCGAGGCATAACACGCTCTCAGGAGCATAATCCACGTTTCCACTGAAACGTGCGCGATGATGTGAATTCCTGCCGGGAGCAGGAGAGAGAGAGAGAGAGGGAAAGAGGGAGTGAGAGGGGGGCAGAGAGGAGGGCAGAAAGGCAGAACTCTAATAATCTAATCCCAATTACGCGGAATCGCGGTCTCGAATCAACGTCGTGAGGAGGAGGCCGGCCGCAAGCATTCACGGAATCTAACGGATTAAAGATGAGCCCCGCGAGTGGGTGTACACGGATTTATGCGCCGGCTCGCGTGCGTGTGTTACGGGGGTGTGGAACGGCGTGACGATCCGTGAAGAGCATCCCATCCTGCGGAAGAAGTCTCGAATGATCCCTCTCTCTCCCTCTCCTCCCTCCCTCGCCTCCCGCTCCCTTTCGCTCGCTCCCTCTTTCTCGATCGTCTTCCTCCTCTCGCCCGCGTTGGCCGCGGGCGGTATATCGCCGGACATTATGGTACATACGCGTATACGCGGCATTACCCGGCTCCCTCCCTCACCCCGTGTGCGCGCTCGTCCCTCCTCCCCATCGACCAGCGCGCATCGCCACAGTTATAATTCCGCGGTGCAAACTCCATAATCTAGTCACCGTATCCTCCGGCATCTCTTTCTCGAGAGCGATACCGCTTTTGTAATGCGTGAGGTACGCCGACCGTCGATCGTTCCCTCGGATTATCGTCGATCGATAGCCACAATCCTAGGCGAATCCTCTTTGCCCCAATCGCGTTGCCGCGCGCCGAGAATCCTTCTGCGATCCAATGAAAACGGATGCCTCGTCGACGGCGATCATTAGAGCAAAATCGTACACGTTGAGGAATATAATTGCATAGCGCACTGCATCGGTAAGTAAGCGAGAAGCAAAATGCACTTTTAGTATAATCGCAAATATGTAAAACGTTCTTCTCGAACTTCTTGACGCCGATATATAATATACTCTTAAAAATGCACAAATTATTAATAAAGCGCAATTTGATCCTTCCGAATAAGATTGTACAAATATTTTTATATCGAGTATATTTGTACAAAAATTTAAGCCAGTTTAAAGTTTAGTATGTTCGACATTGATTTATAGATACCAAAGGTCATTGCATCTGCATCGTGAGTTATAAAAATCCTGTTTCAAACTCATTAAAAAAACTTTCTTTCAAACTTCAAAGTGAAGAATATATTATTTCCTTAATGTAGTAATCTGACATAGTAGTTCAATTCTCGATATCGCACGTATATACGATATGTATCATATCGATATGTTATCATATTCAGCGCTCACGTGTAAGTTATAGATGAACGAGGGTAACGACGCATCGTGTAACGAAAAACATCTGCCAATCTGACATCACCTGCCTCTCGACTTGCCTATTTCTAGTCAATTTATCACGCGTTCCGGTAATGTTAGGAAGGACGGGAGGACGACGCGTTCACGGCGTTAGCGGCGTATGGCGTCGAAGGGCTTTGTTTTCGCAGGGTCCGGCCCTAATTAAACGATAGCATCTTAATTGTCTCCCGACCGTTCTAACGCGGCGATTCATGGTCGCGATCGTTTCGAGGGTGGAGTGCCAAGTTTCGACTGCTCCCTCACATTGCATCGTCATGATTTCTACTTGTGCTTATATTATACATCAGCCAGAAATCTGTGAAAACTATATATAAAAAAAAAAAGAAATTAAAAGAACAAAATTATTTCAAGCGATTTTATCTTTTCGAGACATATACGTTTAGCTTATTTCTAAAATTTGCATTTTCCCATAATTTAATTAACTTGAAAGCATTTTCTAGTTTCCGAGTATTATTCAAATTGAGTTTGAATAATCATGGAATCCAGTAAGAAAGTAAGAATTGATTTCTATCATCTTTTTATTCGCAATTGAAAGATAATTATATTCGAAATTAGTGAAAAGCAATATCTCTTTTGCTCAGCGTATTTTATAGTGAACTATGATGATCTTTATGCTCATTATTTCATAAATCGATGGAAATCGAAGAGATATGAAATCGGTAAATATTCTACGAAGCAAGCGGAAGTAAGACAAGCCAAGAACGAACGTCGATGGATCTAAGAGTATAAAAGCCGACGATACCACGAAGTCAGACATAATTATAACTTTGGAGAAAGTTGAGGACGATCACAGGTGGCTGATGAGTGTTCAATAGTGGAAAAGGGAAGCGCATGACATAACGCGGCGGGAAGAAAGACGATGGAGGGCACGCGGTGGGATCCGAAAAGAGGCACGAAGGGAGGAGGGCGAGGACGATTCGGCGTAGGAAAGAGCCTCGCGCGATGATGGGAGTTAAACGTTCGGCGAAGAGGAGCGACCGCGAAGTCGACGCACCGTAGCTCTTTTGTTTGTCGCGGTGCTTCACTCGAAGGTTTCTTTGTATACCCTTTGAACGGAGGTAGGAGGCATCCGCGGTCCCTACGGGGCCCACATGGTGAACATGGGTCCTGCGTTTATTCGGCACGAAATACGCAAGATGCGCGCAATTATGGCCTCTCAATTATCTCGTACGCGTCTCGTTATTTATTGAATATCGTGCCTGCTTATTTCTCAGGCGAGCTTGCGTGCCGCGGTAAGAGGAAAACGGGTGTCCTCGAGGAGCGAAGGGCGTAAGGACAGACAGACGGACGGACGGACGGACGGGGACGGTTCCTTTTTGCCGGGTTTCGACACGGCTCTGGATGTGGGCATATATTGTTCGATACCCGATATACCGAAGCCGGAAGTCGTCGAAATTCCGCATCGCGCAAATAAAACCGCAGACTTTTGAAAAAAAGACAGCGCACGCAGAATAAATAGGCAAATTACTGGAGAGACTCCTCTCGATACAACGTCTGATCGTTCTTTAAATTATCAATCAATAAGTAGTATAAGAATTCTTTCAGACATCAGAGAAACATCTTACGGTAGCATGGTAATAAGTCAATAAGTCCAGATTTAAAACAATTGTTGAAAGTTGCTTTCGTGAACATTATTTTAATCACGATGCGATTTTCTGCAATTTTTTGCATGCATCTGTTTTAAGATTTCTGCAAACTTAAATTCAACACAAATCAATAAATTTGCAGTATTTAAAGTAAATTAAACTTACAATGAATAAAAAATATTGATAATGACGCGTATAAAGGGAGAATACGTGACTTTAATTTTTAAACACATAGTTTTCTAAGAAAATTATCGATGTATAACGCAGCGTTCATCAATCGCTCAAGTACAATGCACATTACGGCTCTTGCGGCCATATTTCTGTTATTATTGTTATTACGTGGCTGGACAGCTTTCTACTTAATATACGCGAGCCGAGCCTGATAAGAGCTATCCGCAGCCGACGACCACACTTAGCTGACGCATACGAAGCCACGCGGAAACGCACGCTGGTGCCGCGCGCAGCGCGGAGCTCGCGTACGCGTGCTCCGTGACTTGTATGCAAATGCAAGCCACGGAGCGCGAAATAATTATAGTTACACTCTGCATCGCGGTGTCTTCGATCGTACGCGCCAATCGACCGTCGTCCTCGCAGGCGGGAGAGGAAGGGGGCTCCCGATTTACGATCATCGCGCTGAAAAACGTTCCGTTCGTTGCACTACGTCTCTCGCGTTTATGTAAACCGCGCGCCGTATCTTGTAACGATACTGCGAATGGCAGAAAAACGCGTGTAATAGTTTTATTTACCACTCTCTCGTATTTCGTAATAGAAATATTGACCGTTGTCGATAATGAGCAGTCTAGAGATTTATAATGCGAGTGCGCACGTAAACTTGTTACAATGCGAAACACAAGTCCAGCCACGGCTCGCTCGGTAACAACACGCAATC